TAGATCACTGGATCACGATATAATTGAGTTTTTGTGAAATTAATACGACCAATTACGGCATTGCGCTCACACCACTAGTCAGACATAATTATTTTAGCTTGGTAATAACAGAGATAACGCTAGTTATTTAATTTAGAGATTCTTTCTGGGACATCACTATCATCAAAATCTTCTATCAAGCCTATTATTGGCACAACTAAGACACCTATACAGAAAACAAAATCAATATCCAAAGTCACATCAATCAAAGATGATGATGATATTGACGATTTTTTAAAATCACTCGAAGATGAGGATGGTAAGTTAAGTTGAAAGTTTTATGTATATTGTGAATATATTTTGTACTTATAAGAATTTCCTTTTTATTCTAGTTAAACCGCTTCCTAGGTCAAATAATATTAAGAAACAGTCAATCCGGAAAGTAACTGATAAAACGTCTAGAAAAAGTAAATCAGAAAATGAAATGGAGGAGTGGTTGGACGACGTTTTGAAATGATTAATTTATGTATATTAAGCTAGTATTTCGTATTATGATACTTTTATTATTTATTTTATGGAATAAAATAATTTTAAAGCATTAATGTATTCATTGGGATATTTCAAGAAATGTTGTACATGCATACTATCAGGATAGAATCTTTTTTCAACAATTTTTAAAGTACCCGATTTTTCTCCAATGTAAGCACCACTTCTATTTTTCAATCTATTTATAAACTCAATGATGTCCTCTTCAGGAACAATTTGATCACCAGGACCATATAAAAATAAATAATTAACATTTCTGCCATCAAAAGTTCCACCAGGAATGTCATCTAGAGCTTTATGAGCAAATGTTTGGTATCTTTTTATGACGGATAGGGTAAAAAATATTGATAAAAAATTGATTAAAATAGGCGGTGGTTCTATTTTTTGAATAGTATTATTTTCATGTGAGGAATCAACGGCAGCAATTTTTGATTTTAGTGAAGTAGTTTTATCTAAAAAGCCACCCATAATACCTAAAGCAACATATTTTTCATTAATTGGAGATGGAGCAGAATCTATCACACAAGATTTTATAGAATCTAAAAATAGTTCGGCATCAGCTCTTGATATAGATGGTACATTTTTTTTTGAGAAAAGCTTGTCAGAATTAACATTTGCTAAATATCTAATAGCCTCACATAACATAGCATAATGGTAAGTACCATTATCACTAAAAACATGAAAACCGATATTATCAGGTCTACCACGTTCAATCCAAACACCAATTAATTCTTTGGCAAGACAGGTAACAGCATTAGGAATAATCCAAGGAAAGAAAAGATGGTAAAATGGAGGTATATGAGATAATGTGTCTATATGAAATTTGTCAGTGTATAATGAAATATATTTACGTAAATTGCTCAACTTGCAATTCCACCAACCAATTATTATTACTAAAGAAGGTTTATTATTAAAATCATTGTTTTGGTTTTGATTGATATCAGGAAGGGCGGAAGATAATTGAGATGTGGAATCATCGGAATTTAAAGGTGGCACGCTGGGATGTGAAGAAGGATTCGAAGATTGATAAACAAAGGTTTTAGATATATTCTTAAAATCATGAATAGTTGAAATGTTGCGCTTGTAGTTGAATGAATATGAAAATTTTGATCCAGAATTGATCAAAGAATTATGAATCCAAAATTTTGATTGAAAGAATGTAGAATTATAGTAACGATGAGATGTATGTTTGGATTTTATTAAAGTGGTCGAAGTGGCCACAAGTAGAATTTTTCGTTGATACATTCACGTCTCGTTCCAATGTATTAAGAAATAAATAAAAAAAAAATCAAATCCTAATTAGTGATACGATGGCTATCGAAAAGTTGGATTGAAAATTTCGAGCTCGTAGTTAAAATGGAATATCCATTTTAGATTTTTAACTGTCGGAAATATTTCCAGATTTGGAGGTTCCTTAGCGTTGGCTGCTAAAGCAGGGCAGATCGATTGTCGGCGCAGGGCCCCTAAATAATTTCGGTATCATTATCATTATGTAGGAATATTATAGATAACATTGAAAAAATTAAATATCAAATGTTTTACTCAAAAATAAGACCATTTTTATCGACTTTTATTGCTTGTGCTTGCTGGTTCGTTAGAATACAAATCTATACAGTACTTTCGTGCAAGGCTTGCACTAGTGATTTGACTCTTCAACTGTGACTCGAATAATTCGAGTTTAACACGATTTCGAATCATAATTCGTGAGATTCGCGAGTCACAATAAATCACGCAAATGTTAATATATTAATTCGTGATTCAGTGAAAAAACATTGTAAGCCGTGGAGAAATTTACTGACTTTTTTAGAATTTAACGTTTCCCTAAGGATAAATCAATTTATACTAAGTAAACTTTTTCTTCTACTTCTAATAAAAGTTGTAGAGGGAAGAATTCTGATCATTAAGACGGTTAAAACATTAGAATCAGTCCAGTATATCGCGGGATATAAGAATTTTTTTCTTTCGCGACTATATGTAGTAAACATATAATCGCGAAGACAAAAATGCTCATATCTCGCGATCCACTGGGCCGATTTTAACTTTAACTACCGTTATGATCGGAATTCTCTCCTCTACACCTTTATTGGAAGCAGAAAAGCTTACTTAACATAAAATCGATTTGTCCTCAGGGAAATGCCAGATTCCAACAAAGGCAAAAAAATATATACTAAACATATCCCAGTTCACTATCTATGTTTTTTCACTGGTTCCCATGCAGATCATAAATATGTTTGATCCTTTAAATCGTAATATGAGTGCCGTAATGGAAAGCTGGGCTTTGGGATATCAAGTTTATTATTTATCAGATTCAGCTTTGAAATTGAATTACTCTAACCCATATACTAGTATCTTTAAAAAGCGTATAGATACATTTGACTTTTCTTGTTCTTCTATACAAATTAGTTGCGGTAATGCTGAGAAAATGATTTCTTATTTCATCGTAAATACGACTTGTCGCCGTCTTAGGGTGCTTAGTTCGTGAATCGCATCGTAAGATAAATAAGATCATAGAATTCTGTAATATGTTGAATAGAGCGCGATTGGAGGACACTTAAAGCCTGGCACCTTGGCTAATTAGGATATGCTTTTACATGTTGGGATTTTAGGTAAGCATTCGCGGTTATAGGGTTATAAGGTATAAAATATAAAGTTACGTATCACGTCATTTCTGCATTTTTATTCTTGTACACGCGTTTGATTTTACGTCGGGCTGATCCGGAACGATCAAAAATTTACGCTCTCCGATTGGTTTTATTCTCGTGTTTTAAACGCGATGAAAAAGATATATAAGGTTCATTTCCATTAATTTTTTCACTTAACCTTCTTCTTTTTTTTTTTTTTCAAGCTTACTTTTGTCTATTTAAATTATTGACCTAATTTTTCTTGCAGTAAATATAAATTTCAACAGGCACCGCTTTTTTTTTTGCTTTCACAAATCAGGTTGTAAAAGCTTGGTATAGTTTGTAATCTTAATCTTCGAGTTTTATTATTAGTTTTTGGTGTTGGGCATTATTTAGTTATATTGAGTCTTGGCATTTTTTATTTTTTGTTATTTCATCGCGTTTTGTTATGCTAGTGATCTAAATCGATTAGTTTATCTAGGTAGTAACTAACCGATGGTTAATTTTATTAGACGACTAATCGATTAGTCGGTTTTATAATATTATTATAATTAATAGAATCCAAATTGTATTAGTCAATTAATTGATAAATTGACTAATCGATTAGCCAATGATAACCGATTTTTATTTTTGGTCCGATTTGGAATATATTTTTTGGCGTTTATCACACAGTGATGTTTAGAGAAAAAACAAACTTTTTTCAAGTTTTTTTTTTAACTTTAAGTTAAAATATTTTAACTACCAAATCAAATTTAATTAAAATTTTTTTTGAAAAAAAATTCTTATTGAATTTTAATTTGGTATATATAGTTGGGATATTTTAATTTAATATTTTTAAAAAAAGGTACTAAAAATAATTTGTTTTTTTTTTTAAGACATGAGAATTAAAACATGAATTTTAAATGAAAGAATCCAATAGTAGTTTAACATTGCAGATAAAAGAAACAATTTTGTTAGAAGATAAAAGAAAAAAAAGCTACAGCCTACAGTCAGTCTACTCTCGCTAATATCACCATAAGATGAATTTTTACAAATTAAAATTCACTCATATATATCAACATTAATATAATCCCTTGCTAATATCACTATCAACATGAATTTAAACCAATTCAAATGGGTTGATATAAACGAGGGTAGACTGTATTGATTCTTCCTATTTGTAATAACATTAAATTTCAAAATTTTGATATAACTTACAAGCAATTTTATATATTTATTTAGCAAAAATTATGCAAGTTATAATGTAAGTTTATAACTATTGCAATAAAGATTAATGGGTATACAGGGTTCTTGCATAGATGTTTTTTTTTGAGAAACCGAGACGAGTCCAATCGCTAGAACTGAATTAATGCAGCCATTTAAAATTGAACTCGATCTGAGTTGGTTCTTTGAATCCGTGAGTCGGCAGAAAATTAAGCATCGAACATGTTCACTGACTGATAGTTTCTATATAGTAATAGGTTCAAGTTCAACAATTGACTACTTTACTTTAATTATCCAAAATATGATGATTTTTAGTTCATGAGAATTGGTTGTATTTCTTATAAACGCGTAAAATTGAGTCTCTGTAACTAATGACCTTATAATCAGCCCTTATTTTTTTTGATTATTTTTGTTTGAACAAGCAAGCTGTTGCGAAGGTGAAACGCACAATTCACAGAAAAATAAATTTTAAAATATCGATACGAGAAAACTTTCTACTGGTAAATTTTTTTAGAGCCGATGTGAACTATATATATAACTAATCGATCGATGATAAAAAAAAATTTTATTAATTTTAAAAATGTAGGACATAATGACGAAACAAAAGTTTCTTCAGTATAAAAATGTTGCCTTGAATTTGTAATGAGCAATCGGCTCAGTTGCCTCTGAAGTCAATGAAAGATGCAAAGCTATGATATATAGTTTATATGAATTACCATGTACAACGATATTGATGATCCATTCAACGGTAACGTATTTAACGCGTTGGGATGCAATTTGGTCAAAAATTAAGCTTAATTTGGACCATTATTCTAAATAACGCCTATGAGCGAAAATACAGTACGGTAATAATAATTTATAGAGAGTATTAAAACTATTCAATATTAACATTAAATAAAGAAAACACCTCTTTATCACATGATATTTTGAATCTTTAGGTAATATATACTCATGGTGTTTTTTAAGAGAATTGTTTTTTTTTTAATTTATAATAATAATGCGGATTAGTTGGAATATATATACAGTTGTTACATGTATACAATATGCTAGAATTTCTATCGGGCATTCTATTAAATATTCTAAACTTTGTATAAAATAATATTGAATCTATAAGACATATTAAGTCGATGTTGCTTCAGTTTTCGCTTCTTCGGTCGAATTTTCCGTACGCGAAAACATGGCATTCATTGTAGGTGGAAGGTTAGGAATTGGGGGAAGAAGTGAAGCAGCGGTTTTTCGAGATTGTTGGATCAATAGTGCACTAAATTAATTTTAAAAAATAAGCCCATGTTCGTTCATGTACAAACTTTTTATCTTATACTTACTCCATAATAACCAATGCTGCCATGGATTCGACGATAGGAATAGCTCTTGGTACTACACACGGATCGTGGCGACCTCTTGCAGCAAGTACACCATCTACACCATCGTAAGTAGCAGTATTCTGCGGTTGAGAAATCGTGGCAGGCGGTTTAAATGCAACTCGAAAGTATATATTTTCACCGTTCGTGATACCACCCTTATTAATGTATAATAATTTAAATACATCAATTAACATGTTTAATTTTGAAAATAAGTTCTAAAAAGACCCATATTAAAATTATCGAGTATCAAATACCTGAATTCCACCAGAATAATTGGTTATAGTACCTAAATTATTAGCCTTTTTAACCCAAGGATCATTATGTTGATGTCCTAATATTGTTGTACCCTTGAATCCACTTCCAATTTCAAAACCTTTAGTAGCAGGAATCGAAAGCATTGCATGTGCAAGTTTGGCCTCTAATTTATCAAAGCATGGCTCACCAATTCCTGAAGGAACATTGCGAATTACGCATGTAATAGTTCCACCAACAGAATCGTTAGCTGCTTTAGCTTCAAGAATACGCTGCAAAAAAAAAATAATTTACAATTGAATGTTTGTAATTACTGAAAAATAGCGAAAATAAAAAGTCTTTACAAACCTCGCGCATTTTTTCTGAAACTTCCTTATCAGGGCATCTTACAGGATCTTTATCAACTTCCTCTCGTTTTATGGTATTAAGAAATTCCCAAAAGTCTTGAGGAAACAATCTATCGTCTTCCATGTGAACAAATGGCATAACAATAGACGAAATAGAGGATACAAAAGCTACAAATTCAATTCCGTGTGCGAGTTTAAGATATTTTTCTGCAATGGCACCAGCAGCCACTCGACCTATTTTTGAGCAAATCAAGAAATTGTAGAATTCTTTTGATTCGTAAATTGATTTAATAAAGAAAACCTACCTATTGTTTCTCTGGCAGATGATCTACCACCACCACTACTAGCCTTAACTCCGTATTTTTGGAGATAAGTCCAATCTGCGTGACTAGGTCTTGGGTACAAGTCTGTTTCTGAATAATCATGAGGTCTTTGATCTAAATTACGAACCATCAATCCAATTGGTGTCCCAAGCGTGATTCCGAACTCTGTTCCGGATTGTATAGCCACCAAATCTTTTTCATCACGCTAAATACAGCAATAAGATCAAAACTTTAATTAAATAGAATTAGCTTATAAGGATAAAAATTGTATATACGTACTGGAGTAGTTAAGTTGCTTTGTCCCGGTCGTCTCCTACTCAATTGAGTTTGTATATCGGTCTCCACTATAGGTAAACCAGGAGGACAACCATCCACTATGCATCCTACAGACTTACCATGCGATTCTCCGTATGTTGTTACGCGAAAAATAGTGCCGAATGTACTCATTATTGTGGTGGTAGTGATATTTTTTTTCAAAAAAAAAATCAACCTTTTATATAATTATGACTCATGCATATTTTTCTTATAATAGCCACTATCGTAAGTGTTACAATCCGATAATCTAAAAATACATACGGGTTTATTATTTTAAAGTGTTTTTGATTTGCTTATTTCTTTAATTATAGTAAACTTATGCAAGATAAGCCGCTTTTAAAACAAGTTATCTTTAGCGTTAGAATTTAGAAATGGCAATTTGATAAATGCTATATTTGCATCACATAACTAGTATATTTCAATCACAACGAACCTCTCCCATTTCATTAATATTTTCATAATGGATACATTGAATGACGATACTTAATCTGTAGCCAAGTTCATTTCTAACGCTAATCCTTTTTTTTTTTAAAAAAAAAAATTTAATATTTACAGTAAATACAATAAATTTTTTTTGATGACATACATTTGAAAATAAAAAATTTATAAGAAAAAATATTGTATACATATTTAAACTTTAAATTCTAGTCCATATTTTTCATTGGTTTAATTTTTAATAAGGCCATACAACATTATGTATTACAATATAAAAACATTATTATTGAAATATATAATATTGTATAATTTCTTCTATATATTGGTTGTCTATTTTTATTTTAAGATCCAGGGAAGTCAATGCAATGATTTTGTTTTTGAGAAATGCGCCGGCTATGCTTCTCCTCCACTAGATCCAAGATTAAGATTCAGAGAAGTCAACGTAGTGTTGTAGTGAAGCGCTTTAGCTATTGCTATTCCTCCTCTTGATTTAATTTTATTATTACCCAGGAACAGTGAGGTCAACGTAGTGTTGTTCAAAAGGACTGCGGCTATTTCTTTTACTCCTTCGATTCCAAGATTATTCTCATCAAGATTCAGAGTGTTCTTGATAAGTGCATCACCTACTTCCGACCCAAGATTATTCTTACTAAGATTCAAAAAGGTTCTTGCGAAATGCATTAGCTATTGCTTTTCCTCCTTCTAATCCAAGATCATTATAATTAATAAAAATTCAAAGAGGTCAACGTAGTGTTCATGCGAAGTGCATTGGCTAATGTTTGTCCCACTTCTGATCAAAATTGATTATATTCAAGTTTCAAATATTTTAGCGAGACGTTCGTACGAAGAGTGATCCAAATTGATTATATTCAAGTTTTATATATGTAAAGCAGTAAAGATTGCAATTTATTTATTAATCATACGCAAATAACTTGCAAAACAATTGTTTATTATAAAATTAATAATATACATTATGAAATATAAATTAAAGTAGTTATTATAAATCAAATTAATATATTGTAAGGCTATAATACATGCCATCAGAGTGGTATTCATGAGAAGTAATTCTTTTAATCTTTTCGTCCAAAATTATTAAATTGGAATTTTAATTTTTTCAACGAAGTGTTCTTGCTATTAATCTTAAACACTAAGTTTGTTTTCATCAAGACTATTATCGCCAATATCGTGTAATTTTAATTTTTTCAACGAAGTGTTCTTGCTATTAATCCAACACTTAAGTATGTTATTATTTTTTTCATAATGTCACTATCATTATTATCCGTTTTACATTCTGAGGGTATTAACGATAATATAATATCGTTAATACAATACTTGTAAACGTTTTGAATACAACGTTAATTTCTTTGGATATTTGCGTTGATCTTTAGTTGTTTTAGGGGTGGGTGTAGGCTGATTATGACCTTACGTATTATTTATTAGCAAACGAACGTCCAATATTTTTGCTAGTTCTTGGTAATTAAAAAATATTTAACAGTATTACCAAGCTCAGGTTCGTAACTCTCATGATTAATCCAATAAACACCAATAGCTAACTCCATATAAATTGATGTTTAAAGGAAGCGCGCCTCGACATTCAATGAGAAAAAGAGTATTCTTAAAGTTTTTCCACATGGAAAAACTCTTCAAAAGTTTAAAGTCAACAGATTGAAAAGACAGTTTATTGTCGCGAAATAACGCGCAGGGGGTTGAATTTCAAATTTTGGCCAAATTAAGCTTAATTCGGGCCATTACTTAAAATAATTCCCATGCAGGGACCCGCAAAAATTTGGAAATACAAATTTCCAAATTTCCTGGCATTGATTTGATTGGTTAGAATAGATAGTCAAATTACTAACACAATCGGAAAACCGCATAAAAATTTTAATTAGTAATGCTTATCGATATATGAGATAATGAATTGCATAGTAACACTTATTAAGCTG